CCCACTGACCCAGAGCGCGCTCGCTCCGCTGCCCACGGCGAGGTGGGCGCGGCCCCCGCGCCGCTGCCGGCGGGAAGCGCCTTCTGCGCCGACGGGGCGGGCGAAGCGCTCGGGGAGCCGCCTTAGCCCCTCTCCGCGCGGAGCTCCGCGCCGCWGAGGGGGGCTCGGTCTCACAGAGCTGCTCCCGCCGTTGAGGACAACGAAACCGAGAACTGYAAGGACAAGCGCGGGCTGGGTGGCAGGGCAGGGCGAGCAGGGCCGCTGCACCTGCCCCCAGCAGCGCCAGCGCGCTGCACAGSGCTCGGGCAGCCCCAGTGCACTTGGTTTAAGAGCAGTTTCAATTCACACGTTCCCACCGCCTTCCCCTCTGCGAGCTGCACTGCCCTGCGGGCAAGGCTTTCGGCCCAGCATAATCTAAGGATGGAGACTAAAAGCTGAAGAGGAGCCACGTTACCATACAAACACCTCAGCTAGGCGTTAGGACAGGACCAGGAGCAGCACTTTCAGAGTAAGTTGTCTGATCTTTTCCTTGTAGCTTTATGTGGATCTTGTACCTAGTTTCTAGAAACATCCACAATCCACATGCATGTATTTTCAAACACTCTAAAAATACAGGCCTCTCTTCACACTGCTGTAAACCCCCCGCTGTGTTTGAGCTCTCCGAGGATATCCCAGCTGTGATGCCAAGAGCCTCCTCGCCAAGCTGGAGCCAARTCACCTCCCCTCTCCTAACGCCACCGGAGCCAAGCTCCCCACTGCACATTCCATAACACRAGCAGGTAGTAGAGAACAGGCCCRGCCTCATGGGGCTTGGGCAAGATGAGAGATAACAGGACTTTTGTAAGAGCTTAATTTACAGAAGTTGCTTGAGAAAGTTCAGATGAACTTAAGACTTAAAGTGAAAATCTAAAGTCACTTATATTCCGAATCTTAAATCTTCAAAGCACTTTAACAGTTGATATTTATCCCAGTGTCCTGGGAAAAAGCCAGACATAGACCTGCCAAAAGCAACCACCCATCAGAGCCTTCAGCTGGCTTTGGTTCCTGTGGTGCCAACACAAGTTTAACCTGACCAAAATTTGGCCACTGTCTCCGGGGTTCCTCAATCTTACAAACATAACACATGTACACTAACCCTTGTACCCAGGCAAGKTCTTTAATCAAATGGAAAAGGTTAATTAAGCCAGGCACTCATCCCAAGTACAACAAAACACCAACACCAGAAAGCCAAATGTACTCAGAGTGTCTGCTATGCTTAAAACCCACTCTCCTTCCCATCCAACCCAAACTTGCTTACAGGGCAGAGACATCTTGTTTTCCAACTTCCAAGCAAAAGAAAAAAAAGGAAAATATTTTCTTGCAGCCCTGAGGTCGACAGTTGTCTCTGTTGCAAAACGATAGTCTCAGCAGCCCTTCTGTGTGCTATTTTATAACCATTGTCCTGAAAACCACTATGAGTCAAAGCCTACTGAAGCGAGGGAAAGTGACATAACCGCTGGTTACCAGCAGCAATGCAACCACAATCTCTCTATCAGGGATACGCCAGCAGTATTTACATAGCTACACAGCACACAGTTAGGAAGTAAAAGTCAGGAGTATAAAAGCAGGGTTTATTAGCACTACATGAGTTCAAGACAGGGAATGGATATAGATCATTGCTGAAAATTCAATCAGGGTTTGTCCTCTGAAAGGAACCTTCCCAGGATCTATTTACAATATGTGAAAGCAGCTACAGGGCCAGCTAACAGCCTTGGGACTAAAATGAGGCTCAAAAAAAAAAAAACACCTGGAAAACAGCCAAAACACTTAAATTTCAAAAGAAAAGGACACTGCACGTGTGAGCTCTACTCCAGCAGCTGTACATTTACCAGGAGTCAGAACAGACTTCTATCTCAGGCCAGAAAAGAGTTAAATCCTTATCACGGGTGGCCTATGGGAAAATACTGTGACTTCTTAGGAAAGAAACCAGCTGGCACTGGCTCTGCTGGCTCCTGGTGTGTGTTTTGTTTGGTAAATGTTAGTAGTATGTGGGGTGTAACAGGTACAGACTGAGCCTTGCAGTCACTAACGTCAAAAGAACTTTAAACCTAAGCTACTGCTGTGCTGCTCACCACAAGTCAAACAACCACARAATACTTGGTTCCTGACATCTGGCCACACTCTGCAGAGACATTAGCAAAAACAGCTGTGTAAGAATATACATACTCCATCCAGATTTGTTGGATGTTTTTGTATAACAGACCCTGAAAGCATGATACATTCATACATATATTCATGGCTTTGTAGTAGCAGGGGGGTCATAAGGTGTATTTGATTAGAAAGAAAAAGAAAAGCCAAATCTTTACTCTGCATTGTTCATGAGATCAAGAATTGATTTATCCTTCATTTRAGCAGAAGTTAAAGCTAGGAGGTGACTCACTCTGCATAAGCACATCTCCCTTGTATGATTTTTTTTTTGCAAAGGGAGGTTTAATTTCTTCCTTTTAATGGCAATGAGCACAATACTGATCTTCTTCCAGCAGCTAATGACTGGCATTACAGACAGGATGAGAGCACAACTACATTCTTGAACCTTCTTCTAGATTCACAATCCACATCCTAGTTGAGACCACAAAAGCAATCAGCAATTCTACTTTTATACAACTAACCAAAGTCTGAAATTCTGACCTACTAGTCATCATGATGAAGCTCCTTCTGCACTGGAGATGTAGAAGTCACATAAAAAGCCATCAGTGACTTTGTTATTTTCACACACTCTATAATGGTCAATAGACAAAAATAGTTTTGGACTGGTGGCCCCTGGAGTTCAGCTGATTAAAAAAACACGACCATTATAGCAGCTGTACTAACTCCTGATCAGATATATAAAGTCAAGAGATGCGGGTTCACCTGCATCATTTTGCTGCTGAGTGATTTTTGGCAATTCTTTCAACTCTCCTTCTAAATTCTGCCYAACTTCCTAACTTGTCCTCCATGCGCAGGGCATCTTTCTGCTACTCTATAATTCATACGATCCATTTACATTGAAAAGACAAATTCAAGTTCTTAGATATATTCTAACATGTTAATCTTGAGAAAAATGGATAATAGAGAACTTGGTTCACATTACATGTTTAGAAATTTGCAAAAATTAATATGTTTATAAATACATTACCCCATTTAAATAAATACACAGTACCAGCAAACACAGAAAGCAACTGGAGCACCAGGGTTTGCTTTTCAGGGAAAACTGCAAATAGAACCTATGAAAGGTCCTTGTTACCAACTGATCCGTGAACAGTGTGTAGTGAGAAAGCAGCGGTGCCCTTTTCATGCAAACTCTTATCTTCCTAATTGATGACTGACTAGTGATCAGCTTGACAAGACCTTGGGACTGACACTGTGAACATCCCATTCAAATCCCATCTTTCATTGTCATACAGAAAGGGGAATTCAGAGTGTGTCCCTGAAGGGCAACCAAGCCTCAAATAATTTGGATAAAGACATACCAGATTTAGGAAGGCTATTTCTGTTCTATATTGGAAGGAAAGTCAGAAATTCATTGAGGAATGCAAATTCTGGAATATTTTAAGTTGGAAGGAAGAAATGTTTCAGCAGTGAACAAATAATTAATACACAATTCACCAGCAATTTCTTAGAAAGCTAGCAATAATAYGAATATAGCCATTTTATCAAAAAAAATCAAGAAATTCCCAGTAGTTACTTAGGGGACAACTAAACCATTTTACTGAAAAGCTATTCTGCAAAAAACAAAGACCAAATGAACAGCTTCAAGTATGAAAGAAAATGCCAAGGAGGGTTGTATCCTTCAGGGTGCATGGTAATCCTTGCTTCATGTATAGCAAGACAGACTTTGGACTAAGAAGTCCATCAGCTACTGCAGAGAATATGAGAGAAAACAGTTAGGAAGCCTTTCCATTTCTGGAGAATATGGGTGATTGCTGTTAGGACAACCACTGAATGAATTTATTTTGTGTAGAAGGTAGAAGTATTTATAGATTGTTTTATTTTGACTAGTAGAAAATACTTTGCAAATGTCTCGAGTAATATTAGAGGTTATTTTACGCCCATGCAGTTTTTAGTTTGTCGTCAAAGACTTGACTAATGRTCTCAGTTGAGATCTCTCCATTTCAAAAACACGTAAATCTAAACATTCAAAAGGGAAAGGCAGTAACAAGCAATATAAGAACATATGTTTTGTTTCACAGTTTGTGATAATTTCAGTAAGAAAATGAATAAACTTCATGAAGTAAAAAAGTTATCATATTAACATAATGTCCAGTCTATTTGAAGGCCTGTTATAGGACCCAACTCCTTTGTATTTGCTTTATGACCTCACTATAGCAGTTAAGATACAATGCAGGCCAAGCCTGGAGACTATTAAAACAACAAATAGAAAATTCAGCCTCTTAAATGTTCARAGTCACAGCTGACAGGACAAATTGTTGTCCAGACTTGAAAGCCTTTCTGGATCTCAGCTATTTAGCTGTTTAAACACTGAACTGTGGTCAAYTGAACTAGCACCAGAAAAAAAAAGGTAATTAAAAGATAAAATAAATCTAAGATGAACTGCCATTCAATATTAAAAGGGTAAGAATTCTTCAGTCTGATGCTTTCTGCTTGGTTCTACCCACAAGCTTTTTTCGATACCTTTCAACTTCACCTATGTTAATACTCTACCGAGACAGAAATTGCCATCTGGTAATAGGTTTAGAAACATATTCATTGATCTGCAGACATGCTGTGCAGTGAGTCCTTAAGGATTTTCAGGTCAACTAAAACAACTTACATTGCAGAGATGCTCAAGAGACTGCTCTGTACTATTGGTTCCTATCCAATTTCTGTGCTTCAACAGTGGAAAGACCACCTAGTGTTCCAGATGCTACAAGTTAGACTGTAATATGGCTTAGAAACAGCAACATGGATCCTCTTGCCATCAAATGCTTTTTTTCCACCTGGACAATACCTAAAATTTTCAGAAATCTCCAGCAATATTGAGAAGGCACAAAGAAATACTAGTCATTTTGTAACAAAAGCGACAACTGAAGTCATACTAGAGACAGAAACATAATGAAGGCAGCTCTATCTACTTCTAAATCATGGCTACTCAAAGGACAATAAGCTTCCTACCCATCCACCAAGCGAACTTTGACATTTAGTCCTTAGTCTTTCTTTCCAAGGTGATAGTATGTTTTCATTACCATCCTTGCAAAACTGCCCTTTCAACGATATTACTCAAAATTCTGCCGATATCTTGATTCATTCCAGCACAAACTCACACTGAAGTCTGAAGCAAGTCCAACATCACACAAGTCTTTTTATGTCTATTGTGATTCTTAAAATCCAAGAGCCAAATCATCCCCTCCCACACAAACACCTGCAGGAGTGTAAAAGGCCTCTCCAATCTATGATCATTTCAGTAGTTTTCTGTGGGGAGTGAGGGGAATAAAGGCAAGTGCTGCAATCACAGAAAATAAAAGAGAAGTACAGGTGGTACCACTACCAAGACAGAAACACGTCAAGCAGTTACAAAAAGCCAGTGCTTAAAAAACAAGTGCTCTGTGCTGACTTACACATCCTATAGTCACAGGGCTCACGCTGAGTTGTCTTTGTGCTGTTGCTTAGCCTCCATAGCTCTGCTGTGGGGGAAAACTCATCCAGGCACCGAATCAGGAATGCATCCTTTCTTGGCAAAGCCCTTGGGGACATACTTGTGGTCCCACYGAGTTTAAATGAGACTTAAAACATATGCTTCAAGTTAAGCAAATGCTTCTGAGCTTTGCTGAGGGCCATGAGAGTTTCAGCCCATGCTTAACTGCTTTCTTGACTGGGAAACTTGGATATCCTCCTACCTGTCACTTCCATCCCAGCAGCTGGATGGAACATCTTCATCCTGGAATTTGACTTGCACTATTCAGGGGTCTAGAGCTGCAGTGGTCTACAAGGTCACTCTCCTGCTCTTTGCTATCAGCTCAGTGCCAGAGGTTTCTGCCCTTTCAGATAATTCAGTTTAAATCAAGTATAGGAAATAAATGAAACAAGACATAGGCCCTTGGAGATTACTGCTTTTTAGCCTATTCTGATCAACCAGCCCAAGGATTAGATTGCACTTTTCCACTTCTACAATTCCACAGAAATGATTCTGAAAGCTCAATCCACATTTTGTTCTTAATGAACTTCCATTTTCCTTCAAAATTACCATTAAATTACCATTAAAAAACCCCATAGATACACCTCAGTCACTTATGGGGAAGCCAGACAGCAATTTTACTTATTGAAAACTCAATCAATTTTACATTTGTTGTACTAGAATGCAGGTTTTCTTTTTTTTTTTTTTTTTGAAATGCTGCAGAGCTTTCTTATGATACACATTGATGGCGCTTCTGGTAGCAGGCTTTCAAAAATAATATAATTAAAGTGATGAATCATAATCAGGAAGAAATGGCTCTTACATCTATTAAGATAGTTACTTAAAAAATGTTTTGATGAATCATGCAAGAATGTTCACAAACAGGATTATACTTTTTAATCAATATATTTGTTTTTCCAAAGTCATAAGAAAAGAGTTGGCGCTTTTAACACTTGATTTCAAAAAAAAAATATTTACAGCAGACATCATAAATGCTACAGTGCAATTCAGACTGGCACCACMGTGCTGTATTTTGTTTTGCCATTCACAAACCTTGCTGAAAGTTTCAAATCTGTAAGCTCCCAATTTGGAAATGTTTCAGTCCTGGATCTTCAATATGCTTCTTTTTTCCAAATCATTCATTTCCTTCAGTATAAGGGCAACGTTGTATCTCAGTTCTTGAAACTTTGCAACAGGCACCTGAAATAGAAGAYTCATTTTAGAAAATAAAGTTGTTGGAAACTGGTTAACCTGTGCCTGTGGACAGGGAACATGCCACAGCATCAGCCTGTTCTCTCTCAAAAGAAATATKTTTTAGACTTTAGACTTGAAGTAAATTAAATCCAGTTAATTCAACCAAACCATCTCTGCCACTGAGACGGAAAACGAGAATGGAAGAAAAGTAGCTATATATTTATATACATGCAGTTAGGGACATAGCCTGGCTGGCATGGTCTGGTTTATGGTTGGACTTGATGATCTYGAAGATCTTTTCCAACCACAATGATTCTATGAATTCTATCAATACTGACACTATTCCTTGTCAACTGTAAAATCAAATCCYCTCACTTCAACAGGCCACAATTTTGAAAGCGCCTTAAAAGCAGTTATGGGACATGCTCATTTTACAGGAGAAAATGGAAGCAGTCAGAATACTAGAGTAAAAGTTATAGCAACATGCTATAGATTTCATGTAGACACAAAGTGAAAGAGATTCAGCTTACAGAAGTGGATCAGCTGTACGTTTACTTTTTTTTTTTTTTACATTAAAGGAACAAATGGCAATGGAAAAAAACTGCCAAATTCCTCTTACACCAAGGTCAGAATTTTCAAACAAGTGAAACTAAAGAAATAGCACAATTTCCCCCTGTGACTTTTCAGCCCACAACCTTTCAGTGCTTCTTCCAGACTACTACAAATATCTGAAGCCAAAAATCTTTAAAGACTCCAAACGTAATATGCCTGTTGTGCACGGAACTCCAGCATGCACCACCAGGTTATTTATAGAACAAATTGCATTCCTTCTTAAAGGTTAAAAATATGGATGAGTTTATGCCATTTTCTGGCAAACCACTATATAGAGCGTCATAAATCCTCACACTAATTCTGAGGTAAAAAGCACGGAGGATTTTTTTCTTGTAGCAGAAAGGTCTATATTGAGAAAAAAGAATAAAACTACCTCTGCCACAGGAGAGAATGTTGTCAGGAGTGAGGTTTGGTAGTGCATCACATATTATATAAACTGCTCTGGAATCAAATACCATTATCAGGTCTGAAAGTTAAACTGGATAGCAAAAAACCTAAAATTTTATCAAAGCAGATATTGTGGAACAATGATTAATATTGTTCTAACAAAGGAAGTTTCAAMAAACAAGCCTAGAAACAAGATATAAAATTATTTTGGGTGGCATTTGGTGATATATCATGTGACTACACTGAACTTGGAGGATTCCAAAGCAAACCAACCAGTGATAATGCATTGTTTACAAAAGCTTTATCATTTTATATAGTAATTCATCTTCCTAAAAAGAACATCAACTAGTTTCCTTTTATTTATTACTGCAATCAGACTTACTTCAAAGCGATGAGCTGTCCCATCTGAAAGCTTCATCAGCATTAAAATGGATGGTTGAAGTGCACGGGCCAAGGAACTGAAATTAGTTACATTATTAGTATTGCAACAACATATATTAACAGTGTGATTAGTACAGCATTATGCATTAACAGTTTAAGATGCTCATGTGGGCTTTACCCAGAACATATGAAAAATTCAAATTATATGGTCATGTATCTGGCTAAATAGGAAACTCAGGAACACAGAAGTCCTGTCCAATCTACATCATTAACAAGACTAAAAAAGAATCTTTCTTGTTTAATAATTGCAAGCATAAGAATATTTTCATTTTAGATAAAACAATTTAGTGGAACTGTCACAGGAATGAGAATGGACCAAGCACGACTAGAAAAACACGGTATGCTATTTTCCACGCAGTTTATCCTGTTGCATTAACCCTTCCCATCCCTTCATGCTCTCAACTGCCATCTTAGCTGGAAAACAAAGCTCTTCCAGACTACATCCTAAATTTGTGCATTGCTCTTATTTGATGACCCAAAGAAGGGAAATGAGTCATTCTTGTGCAGCTTCCGTCAATGGACACTGCTGAAGCCTGCTCAGGTACAGAAAGGCACTGGAGCCAGAAGCTCTGCTGCTCCTCAGAGGCTGCTGCTCCATGATAAACAAGAACTCCCAGAGGGAGGTTGGTTGGAAAGGAGTATAAGGGGAAGGGAAATAGAAAAGGAAAATGCACTGTTCCCCTGTTGTTTGGAAAGTGAATCATAGCATTTGCTTGCAGGCATTGTGCCAGAGGATGTTTTTCTGGACATTTTGCTCTCTTATAGGTAGAGATTTTTCTCATGTGTTTTTTTATAGCACTGCTCATCTGTGAGTCAGCTGAGCTTGTAGCTTTTGGCCATCACGATTTTCACTTGGGAGCTTTTTGCTTGGTTTCAGACAGACTATTCCCAAATTACAATGGGTGTCTCAGCCACAACAGTGATGAAAAGGCACCTTCTCCAGCTATTCAGGATGCCCTAAGTAGTCACACACACTAACAATAATTTAAGCAACTGAGAGATACTGGATCATCTTCCAATTTCTTTCATTCTGGTCATTCTTGGTTAGACGCAGATATAGACCAGGAACTACACAGATAACAGGCTTCTATTTATGGCTGTAGCCAGAGATCCACCTCCTAGCTGCCTCTGCTGTGGCAGATGGCAAAAAACTGCAGGGACAGACAGGATCATCACAAAGGCCTTTTCTCCTGTTCTGTGAAAGAAACTAGGAGGCAGATCAGTAGCCAACTACATGGGCGCTGTTCAAGTCTTTAATGCAGTGCCTGTAGCAGACTAACGGGTGATAAAGTCATTTTAGTTGACACATGTACCACATGCAAATRCTAGCCTACTGAAAAAGCTGAACAGATGATATCCTTCCCTCCACGAATCCATTTGGACTGGCTGAGGCTCAGTCCATCTAATTGCTTCCATCATCACTAAGGGCTGCTTGAGTTGTATCAGCCCATCAAGTTTTAAACTGCTGAAAGAGGGACTCAGTTTGAGTGAAATGCTCTAGCAGAGGCTTTAGAGATCAAAACAAACATGCAGCATAAAAATGTATCATTAGGAGAAGCAGAGAACAACCAGCTGGCAGATATGTGCAACAACAGTAGCACCCTTCTGTACACAGACTTCCACATGGTTTCAAAATTTTCCTGTGTTTTACCTTACCCGTAACTTTGCATGCAAAACCCCAATAGCAAGATGTATTTTAACACTGTTAACATTTTAAGCAGTACAAGTCAGTTTAACCTTGAAAAAGTCTTTTCTGTGGTTGTTCCTTTCTTTACCTTGTGGATATAGCCACATCCACTCTCCACTTGAAGTCCTGGACACTTGGCAGCCTACTTCGTGTCAGAGCTGTGCCTTCGAAAACAGGACGTCTAACAAGAAAATCAGAAATGGAAAGTTTAATTCCAAATTCCTAAAAATAATAAAAAACCCCACACACATCCTATAGAGAAAATAAGATTCTTCACAAACTTGGATGGAACCAACTTCTCTTCTACATATAACTTCATTTATAGAAGCTTAAATGGGTGGAGRTTTTGTATATTTAGGATGTTTGTGCTCAAATTACCTGCATTTCCTACACTCAACTACGGTCTCTGTTTAAAAAAAAGGCTACTGTGCAATTCTGGGAAACAGAGGTCACTAGAGTTTAGTAAGAATCATCATGGTGCCTGGCATATCTATTATTCCACTTACAATTAAACTAGGATAGAATAGAAAGGAGATTTGGAATGCAACCCAGCACAAACAGCAGGAAGAAGCAAGCAGGAACAAAAGACAGATGACTAAAGTGAAAAAATTCGAATAAGCTCACGATGCGCCTTCAGCAGAAAGTACTAGGCTAGCAGCAAAGATTAACATGAGATGGGAGCATACAATATAATGAGAAACATATAGTGAAAAGTTACCTCGTGGTTCTTGATAAATCTAACATACTTTACAAATCTAGTTCCTTATGCAAACGTTCATTCCAACCCCAGCAAAACCATTAAGATTTTTGTCTGGTCTAACATATAAGCCAAGACTTTTATTTATTACTTATACTGCAGCAAGAATCAGGCTCATCAAGGCTCAGTTTACTTCTATTAGCAAATGCAGTTGACAGTGATTAAACTTCAGATGCTTGACAGTCTTTAAAATTTTAATAGCATCTTAAGCTCCTGGCAAGTAAACAAGCCAAATCTATACAAAGACATTGCAGCCATCCATTTTTAGGTATACATACAAAAATATCTTCAGAACGAGGTCACTCTTCTGGTCTATTAGGGAGCTAGTCTGGACTTTGTGTTACTTACCATACAGATAGACAGGGATGGACTTTCTTAAAGCATCCTCTGTCTCTGGAGGTTATTTACGGTGCATTTCAAAGCTACTCCAGTTAAGGGCAGGATGAGAAATGGTTCATCCTTTATCCATGGTGCTGGCCATAATCTAATTACAGACTTTACATCAGAGAGGATTCTTCTCTGAACAAATCAAGAGCTGTAGGAATGATAGTCTAACATGCCTACTTAGGATCTTGTGTGCAAGTTAGCTGGTGCTTTCAGAAAATGCCAGAAAGATTAATGATTTGATAAAGAACATAGCACTGACAGGCTGCAATACCCTCGCATGCAATAAAGGGAAGAATTTATCCTTTTCTTCTTTGCAGCGGGACGGGGTGCCTTAAATGACACGCATTCCTAGTAGTAAGGCAACGGAACAAGCAGAGAAAATAGATCAGCTCATTCTTGCTCACTGTCAACTGCTGGATAGGAAGTAGGTCACCACAGCTGGGTGCAACCATGAGAAGCAGGAGCCCAGACTTATCATTAGCAGGATTAAGCATTAAGAAGAGGCCTTTCCCTCGGCAGAGAGTTGCTGCCAGGGTATTGCTCAACCCAGGGACTGCCTCAAATAGCCACAGTGCTGCCGCTTCCTTCAGTCATGGTAACTGCCATCAGCAGCATAAGGTCTGTTCAGTTCAGCACTAGCATCTTGGGGGAAGGAATAAAGAGAACAGAAAATTATTACAGTTATGAGTAGTGGTAAAAGTCAATGCCTGGGCACAGATGGAGTTTCCAAATTCTGTTAAGTTGTGGAATTCCTGTGGCCAAACTGCAAGGCTTTAGAGTTCTGGTCAGGATGACACCTCAATACCATTCCTTCAGACAATGTCAAAGCTTTTTCACCTTAGTTTCAGCTTCTCTCAGCAGTTTCTCAGCTTGGAGAGGCTTGCAACTGGAACTGCAAGAATTCTATAAGGATGACTATGTATCGTGGTCAGCATATGACAAGCTATATGGGCAAAAGACTCAACAGGTCTCGCACCCAAAACTAATGGAATATAACTATATTTGCTAAATGCTTGTTGCCAACAGGCACACAACACTGTCAGCACATATTGCAGAATGCAGGACTTGAGTAAGGCTACATGGATCGTTTAGAGATGATCCAAATTATACTGGGAGAAGGATGATGCACAGGCAGACAAGAACAAAAATCCACATGCCAAAAGATGCAACAGAAAAACAACTGAAAATGAAATACTGGAAAATCTGGTGCAACAATCGACTTCATCAGATCAAAATTGAAGACGAMTTCTGAATGCTGCCCTTCACACCTGACAAGATGCACCTAGCAGGGCACTGAGCCAGGAGAATTATAAACTGGCATGTCAAACAGTCAAATAATACACAAAACTCCTTTCTATGGTAGAAATTAAAGCTATAGCAGTAAAAGCTAAGTATATTAAAAGCCTTGAAACTGACCTTTCTAGGTTTTCTATCTCATACTAAATTTTTGATCAGATGCTAATACTTCCCTTATCGCATATATTTACAACTCAACAAGCATATATATGATTCAGCATTACATTTAAGATCATAAAAGCAGATCTGTCTGGAAGTCAACTGAGATGCTCTTCTCTTAAAGCACAGAGCAAGATTACACTAGATAATCACAGCTTTTGAAATGAGAAAAAGCTATATTTTCCAGCATCGTGATTTCACAGTAGAAAACAGACAATCATGCATGCTTCAAGTGACATCTAAATTTATCTTTTCTCCACTGCAAACAATATTTCACATTGCAACTATGAATTTTGCATTCTTAACACCTGTAATTCAAATAGAAGGGTAAAGAGATGAGATGGCTACATTTATTTTTGTTACAAGAATGATTAGCTTTAAGCCAAGATCCTAACCAAAGAAATTAAACATATTTTTCATTCTGGTAGTATCATTCTATCCTTGTGAGGGTAACCAAAATACAATGGCTATAATATTAGGACATGCAGAACATCCAGAGCAGTTCTAGGCTGGTGATGCTATATGCTGAGTAACCTCAGCTCTCAAGAAAGTCTTGCATATGCAAAAAGATCAAGCAATTTCCAGATAAGGAAGATAAATATCTGAACAGAGAACTATGCAGAAAAAAACGTATCCTTAGAAGGGGCACAAGAGAGGCTGTTAAAGAAGCTCTCCATGACTACACCCTTGTGAGCTACTGGGGTATTTGTAAATGAATTTGTAAATGAATTCCAGCTAACACAGTACTTCATATTGCTTAGGTATCATCAGGTCACCTAGTGTGTGTTCTCAAGTGAATGGTACCTTCACACTTGATGATTAAATGCAACCTGGCCTTCACTTTAAGTTGAATCAAATTTATGGACCAAGTTTGGCTCTCACTTGAGAATTTTGCCCTTCCTTCAGTAAGTTGAGTTTTGCTAGCAAAGGTCTGCACGACACTGCTGGCTGCACATTACATGAAACATGAAAATACTAACCTGTTACCAAAGACTACACTGGAAAAGTCCGCGATGAAATCTTCTGGTATCCTTAAAGAAAAGGTCAACAATACAAAACAGTTAAGTATGTTAAGTCTAACAGTTAAGTCTTAGCTGCAAGAACTACTATAGAATGCAAAAAGTGGCATCATTTTCCAWTTTTCCTCGCTTAAAATTGCCATCAGTTCTTAAGTAACCATTTCAGTATTGATTTGGTCTAGGCACTGTTCTGCTCAGAATGGCTCTAATAACTCTTTCTATATCAAGAACCTTTAGAACTCTTTTTCTTACACACCTAGGACAAGCTTTTTGTTAAAGCATACAGATAATATGGCAGAAGTGTTTCTGAAGAAGTCAATATTGCCTGGATCTTCTCTCTGTAAACTCAAAATAAATTTTATTGGTGGCTCTATGAGAAGTGAGCCAGCAGTGCATGCTTTCAAAAATCTCAGCCCACACATTTTATTTCTCCTTTGAAGTACAATGAAAAGAGGACAGAATGAATTGCTCCCCAGAAGTGAAGCCAGAGACTCTTGTGTAGCTAAGTGTGCTTACAAAAAAGTCATACCTAACATGGCGAGAACAAGCATAAATTGAATTGGAACCATGAACTAAGGGTTGGTTTAACAAACCATGCACTTCTTGCCACTCCACTCCTTTACTATTCCTCTGATATTGTGACTGCCTTATAAACAAGCTGTTGTTGATTTTCAGGTCAATATATCAGGCTGTGAACTGCACAGGCTGCAGAGTAAACAACATCCATTCCACTGTCTTTGCCACAGGGACAGCAGCCTCCTGTAGGGAAGCAGGCTGGACAAGTGGGAAAAGTAACCACTTCAGTCACCACTGCTAAATCCAGCACTCATCATGAATCAGTGCCCAGAGACATTACTCACCCTTGCCTTGAGAAACACAGCAGTGTATCAAAGAAAATCCAAGCAAACAAGGAAGTGACCTGTCCTAAAAGACTTAGTGTCTAATGGTGGGAGAAAAAACAACTCATCAACTCACATAATGGAAAGAGGAAACAGTAGTTATCAGACCTTGAATTTTTTAGTAGGAATGGAATTAAAACAAGAACAGAAATAAAATTTTAATAGAATTAAAAATAGAAATAAAAAGGAGAAAATAAAAGGTTTAATTTGAAARACTGCTACCATTCCTGCTGCATGCTGTATGCTTGAAGATGTTGTGATATGGGATGGCAACTCAGGGAAACCAAAGGTACTGATCTAACTAAAGAGAAGTGGACACATCTCCCAGCTTCTTTCTCCACTAGAATTAGAGACCAAGACAAGTTATATCACCAGGACACAGAGAATGGCAAGACTTTGTATGGATGGAATAAGGCAGGCCAATCTTTAGCTTCACTGAACAGAACAGAATGCAGAAGAGGTAAAAACAAGTAACATGGCTCAGATTTCAATCCTCTTACAGTGAAATGACAAAGTAGTAGCACTTTAACTTAAAATACAGAATGGCTGCCCAAACACTGGTTTGGTCCAAACACTAGTCATGCCAACAAGCTGCTCTTCAACCAATTCCAGATGTTCTTTTTGCACAGGACCTACATCACAGGATGACTTCCAGGAGTCACTGAAAAAGGGTAAGTGTCTGAATATTAGTAGGCGCTTTAAAAAGGAGTAGGTATTTTATTTCCAAATCTAAGTTCATGAGGAAATACAGGAAATGATATGTCCCATAAGAGCCAAAGAGGAGGAAATTACAGAAGTCTCAGCTTGAGAGCTTCAAGCCACAGCTTGAGATCAAAATAAGCTATTTACTCTTCTACAAGTTTAACCACAGAGTGCAGACAGTGCTACTCGTAAGGAAAAACAAAACAAAAAATAAGAAAACACTGTCAGAGATGAAAGTTAGAGAGGGTCCAAATAACTTCTGAAAATCAAGTGGATGTGCCAAAAATGAGCAGCAAATAGAACATACAAGTGTGCGAACTGCTGAGGCACACAAACACCTGAACTACTGCGCTCCATGCAGTCATGTTAACCAGAGCAAGGTGTGCATATTACTGCAGTCAAGTTCTGCTGGTAGTAATCTAGGCTATAATCTAGGTTACGTCTATAAAGAGATCATCCAGAAACAGCACCTTCATATTGACATGAATAATCTATTAAAGGGAGAGAAAACAAATAGAACTACAGGAGACTGAAACATGAAATGCGGTCAGATGACAAGGACAGAGGCCTGGGAGTCTGTATTTTTGGATACAGCCATTGTCCCCAGCCAGCCCTTTCATGGCTTGTGATACTTCTGTTTATCAGCTTGCTCCACTGTTCAGCAGTGGGTGGAGAAAGAGGGCAAAACAACCTACACACACAACTCCTACGGGGTCAAGAGAAATTCATCAGTTTTACTGACCCTGTTTAACCTGGGTGCAAACTCCGTCACGTGCCACAGGAAGCAACTCGAGATTCAGCTCACAAGGCAAAGGCCAAACTCCAGCACTGAGCTCCAGACAAAATTGTCCCAACAAGGCACCTTTCAACAGGGGCCTCAGCTACATCTGCCATCTCTAAATCTGACCCTTTCATCTGCCTAAAGTTGCTTGGGACTTTGCAGAGTAGAGGCTGAGAAAGCCAATTTGCAGACAAACATGAAAACAAAGATTAAAAAAAGAATCAATTAGAGATTTCTATTAACCTGCACCTACTCATTAGTAATCAGAACACTGAGAATATCAGCAAATTAACAAGTTTCTCTACAGAGCAAAACATCAATTGCTCTTCTTATTCCCTCCTGTTATTACCAAATGTGAAAATAAGGGTAAAAAAATAGAGATTGTTTGTAACTGATGCCTAWCTTTTAGGACATTAACTTCTATTCAGAGATGCTGTGAATAGACAAATCAGATTTTTACTAAGCCTGTGTAACAATCATTATGCTTTGTTGGCTAATTAACACAAGAGATCATTGCTGAACAATGCAGTAGGATTTCACTAGTGTTATATTATTGGCCTTTCAAAGAGAGAAAAAAGGCAGTTTCTTAGCTTCTGAAAAGTTATTGTCATCTTAAACATGCTAGAAAATATTGCACAGGACCAGGTGGCGGTGGCAGAGAGGTCAGTCACATTTGCATTAACCTACATTGTGGGCTAAATTAGAGCAATCTCCTGAGCATGTAAACTTCAGTGCTCCTGTTCAGTGCCAAACCAAGTCTTATACATCACCTGTTCTCCCCTTCCCCAGCTTCAAATTACATTTGGTTAGAGATATACTATGGGCTATTTACATGCCATTTGTATAGCAAGCTTGTTGTGCAAAAAGAATTTGGAAAAGTAGTTGCATAAAAAATACAAAAACAAACAAATGAAAATGAACAGGCTTACTTGAGCTCCTTCAGGTCTTCTTTAAAAACCTAAAAAGACAATGAAAGTATTTTTTTTAAAATGAGTCATAGTCTCATTTAAAGAGACATAAACATAATTTCTTAAAAAGTGAATTAAGTATGGTTACTTGTTTGGTATTTCTCCCCAAAACTTCTAGCATTAAGCAGGGGTAGGTTTGAAATTACAGGTTATATGTTGAGAAGAATTTCTAGAAGCTAAGTCCTAAATCTTAGTAGCAATTAATTTTAAAACTAATGTCCCTGCCAATTCTTTTATATAGCTATCTGTAACTCATTTTTCTTTTAGAGTAATTATGYGGCCTTATTCTTACACATACTTTGCAGTAACTTGTGTAAGCCACAAGAGCAGAAAGGAAGCTGCAGAAGATAAGGTCTTCTCAAAGACCTTATCCTATCTTCTCAAAGTCCTTATCCAAGACTTGCCCTATGTCTACTGCAACAKGGGAGCTTTTCCATTATGCCTAAGTAAATATGAAAATCTTAAGCAAGGGAAAGCAGTATCTTAAGAAGCTCATAAGTGGTTTCCCTGAATAAAAGTAAAATTTTAAAAGTGTAATGCAACACATCATAAAAAAAAGCCATAAAGAAGAAATCTGTGTTGAAAGCATAGCAGCTGTATCTACATTCACTCATACAGAATATGAATACCATAATCACAAATATCGCTTTCTCCCAATTCCCACCATATTGTTCTGCTTGTAAGACCGACCTTCCTTCCTCTATGAAGAAAATCTGAGGAAAAACAAACAAGTGTAGGAAACTAATCGTAAAATAGTGGTAGGTGTGACACAAAGTAGTAGAGAGTTGAGACCACAGAAATAACATTTTTCAATCATTTCTTTGGGGGTTAATTGAAGAATGAAAACAAAAACACATAGTAAGCAAGATCCTAAAACAGTAAAAGATAAGAAACTGCTTTCCCACAGAGGAAATACTCTTCTGACAAGTTCACTGTAAATCTATGCAACATAAAAAGTAATAATCTCTGGATTTGTAAGTTTCCTTCACCTACTTTAATTTGGAGTAACAAAGCTCCCCACCCCCTTTGCAAATAGGGTTTAAATGGTAACTCGTGACTGACGTAACTTCAGCTTATCAAGGCCCTGAGTATTCCCAGAACTTACTTCTTGCTTCAAAGTTGATAAGGGGAGTCTCAAAGCTTCTCGGAGAAGGGTGTACATGCCAGAAATGAGGAAAGCAAGCTGCTCTTCGGAGAGATTAGAGCTTTCGGCAATCTGTTTAACAGATTCTTTGCAGTCTTTTCCTTCCAACGCATTCACAGCAACTGTAAATAAGAAACCAATACAAGATTCTTTTATAATAAGGGCGACTTAAATACTATGAACATTGGCACAAATATGTCTATAACTTTAATTGACCTACTGGATTGATAATTTTCCTGACATGAAACTGTCATTCCAGGTCTCTAAACACCTAATCATTTACCAAAGGTCAGTCTCATAATACTTTTCCAGGAGAATTTAAACAAATTATGCTTTTGCATTGTAAAATTGACAATGTTTCCCCTATGAAATTTTGTTCCAGTTGGACAAAAGAAGAAAAACAAAGTTTTCCATCACTCGCTAGTTTAAATTTAACCTTGTATCAACAAACTTGCTGACATCAGAAGTCTGCTTGCAACTTAATTACTTTCTGATACACAGAATAAGAAAGTACTGAGACAATAAACAATTCAAGGCTTTTCTTTAATGCTTCACATATTAAATTTACATTGCAACGTCAGCAGTGACTAAATATTAAATGAGCAAGGAAGCAAAACTGATTGAGTTCAAGCAGCTTCCACAACTGCTGATAGGACAAGCTTTTGCAGGAAGTGACTGTTAAGCCACAGAGCTTATATCAGACACTAYTAACTGGGCTGGTTTTAATCTCAAACTGCAGCATTCAGTTATTCTTTCTTTCCTAAACACACTGGGTTATGTAATTGTGGTTGATGCAGCCTGATCCGTGCAAGTGGATGGCTGGAGTCACAGAAAGCCCCTCTGGGGAGAAAGGATCCCACAGGACCCCCCTGCAGCATCACGGACTTAGGGCATTCACCTGCAATGCAACAGATTTACTGCTACAAACAAAATATAATAAGTTCAAAATACCCAGCAAGCCTTTGTGAAAGCAAAGGCCAAGAGACAGCCTTTAAGGTTAAAAAAAAAAAAAAAAAAAAGTCTGAATTGAACTGCCTTCCTTTTGTATTAGATGTGTTCCAGTGACTATTACCTTTGGTTTCTGGATTAGCTTTCTTCCTCATTCAAGTTTTTAAGTGCACATAAAATTCATCATTCATATGCTGGCTGAATTCACCTGACATGACCTGCAGGGCAAATTTGACACGAATTTTCTAGAAGGTGCAAGATGTTAGTACTAAACTTTCCAGGTCATCTGGAAAAGGCTCCATCTTAAGTCCAAGCAATTGCCTTTGAGAAGAGAAGAAAGGCTCAGTTTACTGAAAAGGCCAAACACAGATTAGTGCTGAGGTCTGTCAGATCATTCCAGATTTTCTGAGCACGAAACAGGTTAATATCTACTTAAACACTACTTTCATCTGTCTCCGCAAAGAACAGCATTTTGCTTACATTTTTTAATCAGGTAGTTTTAATAACAGAATCTGCTGTGCTTTCCCTAACAACTGACCCCATGAACTGCCYGAGAAATCTACATCATCTTATTTTTCTGTTCCATTATCTAACTTTTATTATCCCAGAATACAAGATTTAGGAAAAAAACAGAACACTCTGTAAACCTTAGGGAACTTAAAACTCCATTAAAATCCAGTCAGGTCTTCAACAGCAACCAGTCCTTCAAAGGAAAAGCCGACACGTCCTGCAAGCWGTTTACCACAGCCCCAGAGGAGCAGAGGACACCTGCGGTCGTCYTGTAGCTCCGCTCATCCTGGAAGCGGTTCCCACTGGCTCCACGGGCCACGTTCACTCGCTCCGGCTTCAGCAACGGGGGAAGGAGCTTCCCGTGTGTGGGAGAGGCCGCTCGCTCCCCCTGCGGCTCGCGGCGCTTACTGCACGCGGAGCTCCGGCGACAATTTGCAGCGAAATCGAATCCACGTGAGGCTCAGGAGATGACCAGACTTCCTGGCCTTAATATCTGGTTTTTCCATCTCCGTTCCCTCCGCGCTAAACCGCAAATTCCGGTTCTTCGCGTGTATTTAGCCCTGCCCCAAATACCCCGGGCTGGAGGTTTCCTACTTGGAAGCTCCGTACGCGAGGAGCGCGGGCGGCCGCGCTGCCCCCCGAGCCCCGTGCGGAGCCGCGGGCGGGCTCGGCGCGCCGGGGCTGCGGGCTCCGCCGCCGCAGAGGGCCCGGCCCCGCGCGCGGCTCCTACCTTTGAGGAGCCGCCGGAAGGTCTCCCTGTCCACGTCCCGCGCGGCCCGCGCCATGGCCTCCACCTCGGCGGGCACGCGCGCCCCCAGGAAGCCGCCGCCCTCGCCGGGCCCGTAGGC